CGCCTGCTGCCGCGCGATTCCGGGTCGTGTAGGGTCAACCCGCCGGGTCGGGTCCGGGTTCGGATTTTCGACCCGTTTCTCTACCCGGGTCGGGTTAGGGTCGACCCGTTTTCCACCCGGGTCAGTTCGGGTTCGACCCGAACCCGACCCGTGACCCGAAATTGACACCCCTAATTAAGATCAATATTGACTTCTAACATTTTCCAATTGAGGCGTGCTTAAAGTCAATTTAAATCTAATGAGCTTAAGATCATTTGACTTGAATGTCATTAAAAAGGCATTCAAGTGTTTGATAAATAAGATACACTTGTATTGATTGATATGGACTTTATGACACTGGATTTATATTTTGACAAAATTTATTAAAATGTGATTCTCAAGAAGGCAATAAATACGGTTACATTATGAACGAGCTAAAAGAACCCTATTACATTTTCTTACTATCATCATTTATGACCACCACCAACATGCCACATTTATCTTGTTCAACTATTGTTGATTGATTATTAACACCTATTGAATTATCCATATGTGGACACCTAATTTTTGTATTATTTGATACGCCACAAAAAATCGTTTTGATCATACACAAATCATCTGACATATTTGAATTAGAAACTTACAAGATAAAATTTGAGACCATCTGAACTTTGATTTCGATAAACTTATAGTCAAATTGAATATCTCGACAAAACAAACCCAACAGCACTAAAATTGGTCCAATACAAGCCTAAATGGACTCAAATTTGTCACAACCCAACCCAATATGATATGATATCACCCATGTTACACCGTGTCCCATTATGACAAGACTGGCCCCAAAATCTGGTCAGAGAAGCGCTAAACAAATCTTTCAATTTATACACGCCATAGAGCCACTACTGAATACAAGTATAAAGCGAAATACTAAATTTTAAAATTGTTTTCTACATATTGTCCAAAAATACATATACAATATGAAGTTTATCTAATATAAAAAAACAACTAATGGCCAAGCCTGCAAAAATCAAATGATAAAAATATACCTACATAACATATCGTAGCCTACTATCCAAGCTACTCAGCTGGTTAATTCCTTACCCTTCCCTGTCTTGAAAAATGGAAGCAGAAGCAGGAATGAATAACATAGCTCAATCAACTTTCATAATCTAAAACATAAATCAATAACTAAAACTAAAAGAAAACTAAAAATAATGTGTTGTACTGTACAAAAAATTTAAAATTGAAGTAGAAGCTAAAACTGAACTTCATATAAGAATTAAAAAGCATTTATATAATGTTAGAAGCTATATTGAAACCAAATGATTTTTAAGCAAATATTAATTTTATCACAATGTCTTGAAAAATGGAAGCTATAGCTTCATTAAAAGACCCGACCCAATCCCGTCTGGCCAGCTGACTGGTGAGGCTAAACGTGCGGTGTGAAGGAAATCGTTCAGCCCATTCAAAACGAGATGGGCATGGACCGCGCGATGCGTGCATGAGATGGATATGCAGTCCGTGTGCTAGATATGCGCACGCAACAGGTCAAAACTAGGTCCAAATTAGGTTTTCGGGTTGACCCAAATTAGACTTGAAATTCGAAATGGGTTGAAAATCGCAATCAGAACCCACACATTCTTAAACTGGGTAGACCCTAACTCGAGTAACCCGAAAAATTCAGATGGGATTTGAATCGGGTTTTCATGTATTGTCAAATTTTTACACTTTTAACAAATAAAACCTCTCTCTCTTTCCTCATCCGTGAGTGGGGTGGGGGGTAGATAATCTTTCTTTTATTTCTAATTGTACTTCTTTGCTAATTTTCACTAATTTGTTAGTTCTATCAAATATGTGTTTAATGAATTTATTTCATCCAATTACACTTTGAGAATGTTTGGTTGGAATATAAGATGTAAAGTTTTTCAAAAACAATAGTGTTGAAAATTTTGATGCTTGATTGTAATACAAATTGAGCAAATTAAACTAAATATAGCGTAAATCATTTTAGTTTATTTTTGAAGTAAATCAAACATGTTCAATTTTAAGCGAGAATCATAGAGGTGTCAAAATAGATTTTCGGGTTAGATTCGGTACAATCTGAAACTGATCCGCTCTCAATTGATCACAACCTGAACCTGACATGATTACACAAACAGTTCCAAAATTCAAACCCAGACCAACCATCTTAAATCCGAGTTAACACAACCTAACACGTTGACCTAATTGGGCGAGGCGAGAACGAGCACGGGGGTGAGCGGGTATGAAGGTGTGAGCCTAAGCAGGTACATCCGTGCCAGTGGGTACGAGCGCGAGCAGGTGAGAACAACGAGGGTGACTGAGTGGCATGATCCCGAGGCAGCGGAGCGAAGCATGATCCATATGCGGGTTAGTTTAAGCTTGATTTTGAGTTTTCGTGTTGACCCAAACCTTTCTTTGGTTCTTCCCTTTGCCTCTTTAATATCAATTATTACTTATCTAGTAATCAGTAAATTAAATTCACACAATAAAGCTTCATAGTAGGATTATATTTAAAACAACTTTAAAGATCGAATAAAAATTTTAAATATATATCTATATAAAATGTATATGATATTTTTTTTTAATATTTATAAATAAGAGTGGACAAAAATAAAGAAATCTTTATAAAATAGCATTTAATGAATTTTGAACGTAATTTTATGTATTTTTTACACTAACCTTCAAACATGCAATCATATTAAGGTCACATTAACTCCATTAATTTATCATATTAGCATTTTTTTTTCTATCTCCTTTATGTATATTTATTTCAAATATTATGGATGCAAAATAAAATAAATGTATGAGATTTAGGCTTTCTTTGCTAAGGTTATATTTGTGACAAATTTTTTACTGTTTTCTAAAACGACTTTCTAAACAGTTTTCTTACTTTTTTCCCATATCTCTCATTGCAACACAATCTTCTCTCGTGAGAATTCTTCTATAACTACTTTGGATGCATCAACCACAATCTTACTTAAAAAAAAAAAAAAAAAAACCACAATCTTACTTTGCTATTGTGAACATTATTGATAATAACTTGCTTCCTTGTATTGCATTCATATCTTGCTCAATTACATGAAAGGTCGCCATATTATAGTATTTTTTTTATTAGTAAAAATGATTTCAACTAATCAAGTCATATGATTTTTTTTTTCATGTTTTTCAAATAAAAAATTAAGTCATATGACAAATATCATGTCATTCAATGCACCGTGCATTAAGTGACGTGACGCATCTGAATTAATCTTTGGACGTGTAAAAAATATTCTGTGCAGAGGACTGACTCAACTTTATGTCTAGAGATGAATCAGATGCAGCCATGTCAACACAATATCTAACACTAAACCCCAATTAAATTCTGATTAATAGCCGAACAGCCTTCAACATTCAATAATTTTTCGTTTTGACATCAACATGGATCCCATGGCCACGATGAATCAATCAGAGCTGTCAAGTGCTGGGCTTTAAATAGCGTCAATGGAAATCCCTACTCCATATAATTTCTTTACATCAACAATTAGGGCTTTCCTCCTCCCGCTCGCGTTTCTAGAGTGGGGGTTAGGGTTTTTATACAGGAACTAACAGCGTCCATGGGGAGAGAATTGCAGCAGCAAGTTTCCTTTACAGTGGAGCAGCTAGTCGCCGTGAATCCTTATAACCCGGACATACTCGCCGATCTCGAGAACTATGTCAACGAGCAGGTAAAGGGGTGAACTTGTTGGGAAATCCCTTTTCTTGTGCATCCTAACTTTTTCATTTGTTATGCAATTTGGACGGAATTGAACATTTGTCTTTGTTGGAGTAGGATCAGACGTGCTTGGGATGGTTTGTTGTGTCCAGTTTTTAATACTTTGTTTCCGTTTTATTTTTGGATGGTTACAGAAAATTTCGACCTCATGAACTTTAGGGCATGCACTGCGGAAGATCTCCAAAAGTAGTATTAACCATATCTAACTGTACTCATTCTCCTGCCAATGCTTTGGTGATATTAAAATAAAAAATGCATTAGTTAGATTGTACTTGCCCCAATTGAAGTGATTAACTCCTTGGAAAATCCCTTCTCCTCTACCTCCTCCCTTTTTACTTTCTCATAAACTCGGGAATTATTCAAATTCCCCTTGGATGAGTATGAATTTTAGTACTATCTCTTATAGTATGATGTTCTTGGACTGTTTGCTTTTTTGAATTTGTCTCGGTGCTGCTTGCTTTTTCCATGGATATGTTGATATTCTGAACCTGTGTTTTTTTCATGGACTTTGTGTCCTACAACTTGATGGCCTTTATAATCCCAGATAAACTGCCTATTTCAAATGTTTGTCTGATTCATGAAGGGCCAAAATAAACTTTTGGAGCTTTAGCTGGTAGAGCGCCTTCAGTTTTATGGAGGTGGCTTGTAGTTGCTTTCCATACAACATAAGTAGTTATAAAAGGCTGGTCTTCCCGAAGACTTAGATGATATGCCAATTTTTATGTAGTACTTTTGTTTTAATCAGACCTTTAGTTGGAATGTTTGAGTTTTAATTCTGTAAGTTAATTGATTTATTTTCAAATAGATCATATGGTTCTTTTAATGCTAAATTTCTCCTTTTCTTTCATTTGGCTCAAATTTGATAATAATTTGTTTGCTGGTAACTTAATAGGATGAGTTTGCTATTATTAGTTTTAAGGCCATATTTATTCCCTATAATTTAGTATTTTCTGTTCTTTAACTGATCAATGTAGGACTAAAATCAGTTCATGATGCTTGGGTGACTTGTTGTCTTACTCTTTCCTAGCGTTGGAGGTTTCTTCAATTTTTTTTTCTAGTGAATTTGCCTTTATTAAACGTCAGTATCTTTCCATTTAATCATACTACAAGCCCTCTTATGAAAATGTGGAAATTAACCGATAGAATGGTTATAATATTGCTAACAGACAGTTACTTGTGAACGATTGAACCACAGATTTTGATAACATGGTGCAGCAAATCTATTTCACGGGTTAATTCAAAAGAAAATTAAGATTTTCTAGCCTTCAACAGGAAACTAATATGACTAGCAACTAGCTTTTAATTGCAACAATTCTTGCCAACTATCTACTATAAATAATTAACTACTATAACATAGAAACAATTATCAACAGTTAAGAATCATAAATAAAAGTGAGAAGAAATCGCAAGAAAAGTAAATGAAAATAATGCAAACAAGAACTTAAATATACATGAAGAAATTGGGACTTAGCTTTTATTGATTCCACAACACAATCAATTACAAGTCTTGCATGTCTTTTCACCTGTTCTTGTTCACTAATCTTCCTTGAATACACTTTTCCTCCAAGTTTTCTTGATACAATCCATTCCTTTGATTTGAGAAAGAAGATGAACTAAAGCCTAGCTGCTGTCTTCGATTTCTCTTTTGAAACCCAAACCTGAAAACAGCTCACAACTCTTGGCATTCTGAGGAAAAAATAGAAACCAAAAACCATCTCCAATCTTCTTTGCTCACTCTTGGTTTACTAGAAAGAAACAAAGGCATGCAAAGCAAACGACATATGCCTTTTGCCCTTGTCCCGGTAGCTTCAACACCCAATCCAAGTAAAAAAGAAGAAGAAAAGAATGATAGCTTCTTTTGATCTCCCTTTAACTGCCTTTATGCTTTTGCTCCGACACTCCCCAATTCCCAAGTATTTTTTGATCTTCCTCTTCCCAACTTGTCTTTCATTTTTTATTCCCTTAAACAATCACCACACTAACTCTATTAAATCAGAAGAGAACTACAAAACCAAGGTAAACATAGGAATGACAACGCAGAGAAAGTAAGTGTAAACAATAATGCAAAAAACAATATAACCGCCTACAAGGATATAAATGCTAAACATAAATAGATAATAAGACTTGATCCATATTTAATTAACAATCTACACCTTGTTGATCACCTTGGATCAACATCTTAGTTTACCTAAGTCCCTCCATCTCCCAGAACCTCCTTAACCAGGAGGTCTCCCAGCATTAGGTATAGTGAAGAGTGTTGAAACTTTGTTACTGACATTATTTTAGTCAACATATCTACATGACTCTCATCAGTATGAAATTTTTGAACTTTGATTGTACCTTGAATCGATAAAATGTAAACTTATGCCAATGCGTTTTGTTCTTCATTAAAAAATTGATTCTTTGTTAGAACTGCACTTTGATTGTCACAACATATTATAATTTTCATTTCCTTATTTTCGAACTCCTTTAACAATTCATTCATCGACATACCTTCATTTTATGCCTTGATATCTGCCATTTATTCGCCAACAACTGGCCGAGGATGTGCCTTACAACTCATATTGTTCCCATAGATTGAGAAGCATAACCAATCAAAGGTCTCCATTCGTGCAGAACCCCAACATAATCTAAATCCACAAACCTTGCAATTTGTTCTCCAGTCTTGTATCCCTTTTTATAAGTCAAACCAACATCAACTAATTATGGTACCTGAATATCCACTTAACATCCTTCCGATATTCTGTTCTAGAATTACCTATTTATCTTCATATCATACTTGTTGTTAAGAACACTCAACAATTTGTCCGACATGCACTGATGGATCTTCTAAATGATCTTCAAACGGTCAGTGCAAAATTGTTACACTGATGGTAACCACTGCTACAATTCAAATAGATTAATGATATCCACTTAAAAGGCATCCGTTGAAAAATGTCCAGTGATCTTAAAAACACTTGAAATTGTGACAAATTTCTTATTTGGTTCGTTTCCATTAATACTGAATATACCCAGTCTTAATCTTTCATTTGTGTGTCATATATATAGAAATTATGACTGAAATATCGCCTTTAGGAGAATAAATTATATACACACACATATACATACATACATGCGTGAAGCTCTCTTTCCTTCTCAACTTAATATTATGTGTGTTAGTTCTCTGATATTAATATTGCTATATAGGTTTTATCTCAAACTTACAATTTAGATGCAAATCTTTGCCTTCTCCGGCTCTATCAGGTTAGTGCTCTCCTCTTACCTTTTAAACAACTCATTTATGTTGATACCTTTGTCTTCTTCTTGCTGATGGCTGCATTAAATTTTGCAGTTTGAGCCACAGAGGATGAGCATCCAGATTGTTGAGCGAATCTTAATTAAGGTTTACTGATTTTAACATGGCCAAAAAAGCAGTTGAAAGCATTCTTTATTTATTTAACAGCTTATAATTATGTGTTATTTTCTTCTGATCAGGCTCTGATGGCCATGCCAGCTCAGGACTTCAGCCTCTGTCTCTTCCTAATTCCAGAGCAAGTGGTATACCTTGTTAAATGAGATGGTCCTTAACTTGAAATGAAAGTTAACACATGGAGTGTTGACTATTAATGTTATTGTACTTATATTTGATTAGCTTTGTATGGGTTCAATAGTTTCTTACTACAGTATGTGTTTTTCTGTAAGATTTGATCTATACGCAAGTTAATTTGTGTGCAGGTTGCTGTCTACTTTCGGTCTTAAATCATGCTAAGAGTTTTTTTTTTATACCAGTTATCTATTTGAAATATCTCATTAAATATATAGTTCTTTTTGTTTTCTTTTGATGGTGATCACCGTTTGCTTCTCTTTCCATACAACTTATTGATTATGGCAAGTAACATTATGGTGCAAGTTATTTTAAATTCTGCATATTCTCATCTTTGTAGCTGTTTTTGCACGGCACATTCTATTTTCTCCCATCTGTTGGATTCATTAAAGTTGAATTATATTTTTCACCATTTTTTTTTCATGATGTTTGTTCAAATTTATATTCATCTTCTTTTCAATTTATTACAATTTTACCGGAGTGTAAATTAACCTGCATTGGCATTTTCATTTGTCTTTTATGCTTAATCAGCAAATGGAAGAGCGGTTCAAGACACTGATTGTTCTCTCACACTATCTGGAGGTGAGCATATATATTGTTTTCTTTACTTTTGGATGCACTTAATAAATTGTTATGTTCTTTGTGTTCTTCATGATTACAGACATCAAGATTTCACCAATTTTGGGAGGAAGCTGCAAAAAATCGTCACATACTTGAAGTTATTCCAGGTACCAAAAGCAAGTTGTTTTCCCTTTTGAATTCCCCTTAGCATCATTGGAGTATGTGGATTATTCCTTTAAAACATATTTTTTCTAGACTATTGTTTCCACTCATTGCGTTTATAATACGCAGGTTTTGAGCAAGCAATCCAGGCCTATGCTATTCATGTCCTTACGCTGACATACCAAAAGGTGCCCAGGCCTGTACTTGCTGAGGTATCAATGCCACTCCTGAGATACCTTGTCGTCACCCGCACGACTATTGATGAAAATCTTCCATTTTGAGTGCTTTAAATCCATTTTATCATTTCTTTCATTTCATATACTGCTTGGCAGATGAGCAGATGATAATTTGGAAGTTTGGAGATATTGGGAATATTATGTCTTTTATGCATTTAAGTATAATTAAGTTTATGAACAAGTTATGAATTTTTTGAAGGTATTTTTTTGGAAGCAAGCTAATATAAACATATAGTTGAAACGCGGAGGGCATTGGCAATTTTGCTTTTCTTTGTGAAAAATATGGTTAAGCATGCCATGCACTAATTAATGTTTTCTGTGATTATTTGAATAATAGAAATATATTAGCAATCTTGTGTCGATAGATAGTGGATTACAAATCAGAAAGTAAAATTTAGGCTTCGTTTGGGATGGCTTTCTTTCTGTTTTTTAAAACAGCTTCTTACAATTTTTATATTAAGAAGCTGCTGCCATCCCAAACGAAGCCTTAATATGGTTTCTAACTTTCTATTCAGCTTGAGCTGATATTCTGATGCTTTCTTGCTTTGATCTGTAATCAGGCTATTAACGTTGAAGGTCTTTCCCTAGACAAGTTCTTGGAGTACCAGGCTGCTAATAATGGCTGGGTTTTGGAGAAGGGGAGTAGTAGAACACAGCTGGTTGTTCTCCCCAGGAACGAATTTAATCACCCTGAGCTCCGGAAGAATACCGCTGATGGGATCCCTCTGGAGCATGTCACCAGGATTTTCCCAGTACTTGTCTGACTCCTTTCAAAGTCTAAACTAATCATATTCTCCATGTTCTTGATGTTTATTCCATTTCATTTTGGTTTTTGGAATATTTTGTAAAATAATTGTTGAATTATTTAGGATTTGAAGGGGAGGGTTTCTGCTTAAAAGATTTTGATGCCTGCACACAGACTTTGTGAAGGGTGCATTGTCTGCAGCCTTTAACTGCCTACCTTGAGGTTTCGTTTGGGACGATTTTCTTACTGCTTCTTAAAACAGTTTTTTAGTTTAAAATTTTTAATTTTTTACTAAAAAAATTGCTTTCAAAAGCAATAAGAAAGCCGTCCCATACAGGGCCTGAGTTTCTCTTATATTTTCTACAATCTCTACTGGTAACATCTTTGATATTGATTGCTTTTTGAAATGTTCTATATCTGGCTTTTTGATTGTCCAGTTCCAGGAGCCTTGTCGCCTACAGTTGATAAAATCTGAAACCAGTGGAATTTGCAACTGTAGAGTTTATAATGTTTTTTTTTTTCTTTCAGTCTAGGCTGTCAGCTGTGAATTTCGCTGCTGGACTGATGAAAAAAGTGTATTATAAATTGGATTTATGAACTTGATTACTGACGATTTGTTTTTCAGCCTTAATTGAAATGAGCTTAGTTGGATCTGGATTTGTTTGCCAATAAAAAGTCTCTATGGATGACAAGATTTAATAAAAAATCTGACAGCAAAATTTTATAAAGCTGCTTGGAACGAAGCCTTAAGGCCCTTAATGGGAAATTTTAAAGTGAGTTGTTGCTCAAACATTCGGTGGATGGCTGACATTTTTTTGTTCTAGAGGTGTGTATGACATGATCTCGAAATTTGATAAAAAAAATTTAGGTTTGGGTTGATCTGATTATGAAATAGGTTAGGTTTAGGTTTAATTTCTTAGTGTGATTGAAATATCGGGTCAGATTTAGGTTAACATATGAACCAGAATGTAACTCGGTTCACTCGCCTGTTGCTTGCTCGCATCTCATCCATTGCGCTTGCTGCATGCCCGCTAGCTCGCACTCGCTCGCCTTATCTGCTCATGCTCGCTTGTTGCACTCCATTGGGCTAGCGGGTTAGGTGATGTTGGGTTTGGGTCGGACGTGTTAAGAGCGAGTCAATTTTGAGTGTGACTCGAATTCAGACCGAAAATTTGTTTATGCCCCTATTCGGTTCTTTAGAATTGATGCTTGCTCTGTTCTCTACAAATCAATAATTATGATTTTCTTAAACAATCATGTGAAAGAAATATGATCCGTAAGAATAAGAAAAGTGATAGAGTTGGGTCACCAAAAAAAAAAAAAAAATCGATTGTAAGAAAACAAGTGGATATAATAATAGGAAGCATTTCTCCAACAGTACTGTAGTGAATGTAGATGCCACCATCCATCAAACAAATACATTTAGCCCGTGCTTTCCTACCAATTATAAGCTCATTTCAGCATGTAGGACAAAATTTTATAAAATTGATAGTGCAATTTATAACAAAATGGTTGAATTATCCGATGAAAGAATGAGAAAATCTCCTGAAAGATAGGGCGACGTATTATAACAAAAGGTTTGTGTTAAAATATTCCCATCCAAATTTGTTTAGAATAATCTTTATAATTGATGTATCATCAATAAATTATCTTGATCGAGCATGAATCTCAAGACAAAAATTTAGTTGGAAACTTCAAAAATTAAATATGGGATCATCTGAACTCCGATTTCAGCAAACTTATAGTCGAACCTAGCATCTCGGAAATACGAACCCAACGACACCAAATTTAACTCAATCCAAGCCCAAATGAGTCCAAATCAAGGACCCGAAGTGTTGTTGGAAAGTTCGTACCACAATTTGAGCTATCAAACGGTCAAGAGGGGATTAGGAGGGAAGAAACTCCTCCTCGACCCCTCATTTCTCTTGAGAGGGGACCGGAGCAAGAGGAGAAGAAGAGAAGGAAGAAAAAAAGATTAGGAGGGAAGAAACTCCTCGACCTACTTTCGAAGTGACGCCGGAATTCCGCCCTAACTTTCAAGTAATGTCAGGATTCCACCCGACTTCCAAGTAATGTCGGAGTTTCACCAGAACTTCAAGTAACATCGAAGTTCTCCCCAAATATCATCTAACGTTTGAGTTCTCCTCGGCCACCAACTGACGTCTACCCGACGTCGGACCTCCGCTCTTCACAAAATTTCTACCTGACACTGGACTTCTGCCAATTGTCGGACTTTCACCAGACATCTATCTGATGTTGGATTTCTTCCCATCGATGGACTTCTACAAGACGCCATCTTTCGGACCTCCGTCGTTAGACTACAGTCCTTTCGACCTTCGTCGCCCGCCGACTACGGTCCTTCAGACTTACGTCGCCCGCCGACTACGGTCCTTCAGACTTACGTCGCCCACCGACTACAGTCCTTCCAACCTCCGTCGTCCGCCGACTATGGTCCTTCAGACTTCATCGCCCACCGACTACTGTCCTTCCGACCTTCGTCGTCCACCGACTACGGTCCTCCAGACTTACGTCGCTCGCCAACTACAATCATTCTGACTTAGGTCAACCGCCGACTATAGTCCTTCCGACCTTCGTTGCCCGCCGACTACGGTCCTTCCCACTTACGTCGCACACCGACTACAGTCCTTCATACCAAACTTACACATCAACATTGATGCTTTGTATTCTCACTATGTAATGTACTGTATAATATGTACATCAAGCTAAGGCCTTCCCCCTAGGAAGGACCTCATTTGTAATCAACTATAGTATTAGTGGATTCATTTATACTGAGTCAAGCCCCGTGGTTTTTTCCCCTTTTTCAGGGGGTTTTCACGTAAAAAACTTGGTGTCTCTGGTGAATGACACACCCTCTCCCTTATCTGATTGCGTGTTGGATTTTTGTACAAAGCTAAGACATTAAACTTTATATTTCTGTACCGCCGCAAATACTCCAGGACGCAACAGTTTGGCGCCATCTGTGGGAACGTGGTTCCCGACTGGGGGCAAATTTTGCTGCAACCTCAGAAGATCGTTCATGCCAACTTCCTGACATCAACTATTGGTGCATCAATTTAATGAAAATTAAATCCAGACTGGGGGACAACTTTGACTTTAACTGCGGTCCAGAAGATCCCTCTATTGTTTTCAATATCAAGATGATATTTTAGGAAAATCCCAATAAATGCAAGGATACTTCCAATCAGTTATATGCTTTATACAGTCCATTGCTGGACTTCTACTCATTGGACAAGGTCTTAATCTTGACCTAAAAAAGTCAGTAACAGTCTAAAGATAGACCATTCTTTACCATTGATTCGGGATACATGTGACGTTCTCTCCCTCCCAATCAAAGTAAAATCAATCATAGGGGGATTCAATTAGACCTCTTCCACACAGGTTAACGTCGTTAAGCAAATGCTTCGACATACAACCTTGGATAGGTCTCACATCCTTGGTGGATTCTCTCGACCTCTTCCATACATGTTAACGTCATCGAGCAAATGCTCTGACATACAACCTCAGATAGGTCTTATATCCTTGGTGGATTCTCTCGACCTCTTTCAAATATATGACGAACAGTTTACGATCAAAGGATTCAATATCGGCTGTTGATCCGAACCACTCCATACTTGCCCCTGATCTCTCATCTATTTACGGGCCATGTCACTCTAGAAAATCTATAAATAGACCCCTCATTTCTCTTGAGAGGGGATCGGAGCAAGAGTAGAAGAAGAGAAGATTAGGAGGGAAGAAACTCCTCCTTGACCACCGTCGCCGGAACTCTGTCCGACTTCCGAAGTGACGCCAGAATTCCACCCTACTTTCAAGTAATGCCGGGATTCCGCCCGACTTCCAAGTAATGTCGGAGTTTCATCAGAACTCCAAGTAACATCGGAGTCTCCCCGAATATCATCTAACGTTGGAGTTCTCCTTGGCCACTAACTGACGTCTACCCGACGTCGGATCTCCGCTATTCACCAAATTTCTACCGGACGCTGGACTTCTGCCAATTGTCGGACTGTCATCAGACATCTATATGATATTGGATTTCTTCCCATTGATGGACTTCTACAAGATGCCATCTTTCTGACCTCCATCGTCAGAATACAGTCCTTCCGACCTCCGTCGCCCACCGACTACAGTCCTTCCGGCCTTCGTCGTCCGCCGACTACGGTCCTTCAGACTTACGTCGCTCGCCAACTACAGTCCTTATGACTTATGTCGCCCGCCGACTACAGTCCTTTCAACCTTCGTCACCCGCCGACTACGATCCTTCCGACTTACGTCGCACACCGACTACAGTCCTTCATACCAAACTAACACATCAACATTGATGCTTTGTATTCTCACCATGTAATGTACTCTATAATATTTATATCAAGTGAAGGCCTTCCCCCGATGAAGGACCTCATTTGTAATCAGCTACAATACTAGTGGATTCATTTATGCTGGGCCAGGCCCTGTGATTTTTTCCCTTTTTTCAGGGGTTTTCCACGTAAAAAAACTTGGTCTCTAGTGAATGACACACCCTCTCCCTTATCTGATTGCGTGTTGGATTTTCGTACAAAGCTAAGACATTAAACTTTATATTTCTCTACCGTCGTGAATACTCCAGGACGCAACAATAATCATTATTTTTTATTTCAAGACATAATGTAGTAAATAATTAATCAATTTAAATCCTTATTGCATTAATTTAAAATAAATCAAATAATCTTAAATCATCATAACTAATTTGAAATATGAATATCTTAGATTTTGTTTAGAGCATTTTTCTTCCTATTTTTTAAAATACTTTTTTAATATAAAAATTTATTGAACTCAACATTTTTTTATTAAAAGATTATTTTAAAAAATAATAAATAACTCTTTGCCTTTATAAAACAACCAAATCTCATAAGATAGAAAAAAGATTGAAAGGCATTGAGGAAGAAGCAATAATTTTCAAAAGATGATTCTGCACACTTCATCACATCGATCATCAATCGGTGACATCTGCACATGATGTCAAAAGAAAAATATATTTTGTTAATGTAAGAGCTCTTCACAGCCACAGGGCGTTCGAACTCTGATCGCTTATGTCGGTACAGTATAATATCATGCATTTGCTCCAATGTGTTCTTATGAAGATTGAAGATATGATTTTTATTTATTTATTTTTTTTAAATAAGCGTAAATTGATGATCTTGAAGAAAAAATATTTATTTTTTAATAACATAATAATCATAAACAGAAATGCGAAGTTAGAGCGGGAGAGCCCGTCAGACTTCGCCTCTCTCGCTATCTCAATCGGTCTCCACCGCGCTTTGGATTTCACTTTTTCCTATTTTCCCTGTCCGGCGACTCCAAAGTCTAATCTTTGTCCATGAACCTCGCATGCTTCTCTCCTCATCTCGATCGTAGCTGCTACCTTATACCCTGCCGGTTCTCTACAATCACCCGCCATGACCTTCGCCGACGGCCCCGGCGCAAGGCGCTGGAGCTACGGTGTCAATTTGGCCTTGAAGGCCTCTTCAGTACACTTAGCTCGGTTCCCCATCTCGATCTTCTTGCCCCCGTCTTTGGCTTCGCATCAGCAGCCGCTGCGGCCTACCTCCAGCGCTCTCTGCGACAACCTGTCGGCGAATGGATTTTATTCACGAGCCCGACGCCGTTCAACAGATGTGTTCTTCTCCGGTGCCCCTCTGTTTTGTTTGAGGATGACGGTGAGCTGTTGAATGGCGTAAATGACCGGCTCGTGAGGGAAGATCGGCACTATGTTAATCTTAGCCGCGGCGGGGTTCCGTTCAAGGATGAAGGAGATGCGGGGTTTGAGAAAGATCTTCAATTCCAGAGGGTTTGCTTGAGGACTGATGACGGCGGGGTGATTTCCGTGGATTGGCCCGATTATTTGGATTTGGAGAGGGAGCAGGGGTTGGACACTACGGTATTGATCATTCCAGGGACGCCAGAAGGGAGCATGGATAAGAAAGTGAAATTGTTTGTGCATGATGTTGTCAAACATGGGTGCTTTCCCATTGTTATGAATCCTAGGGGCTCTGCAGGTTCGGCCTTGACAACTGCAAGGTAGGAAAACATGGCATTTGGCTTTTGCTTTCAATGGGGATGATGCTCTTTGTTCCTGTGTAATACCACTTTTTTGCAAAAGAAACGCTGAAGTACCCGAGCCAATTGATACATCGAATTCATTCATACGTGGATGGCGTTAACTAATTTTTTTAATCCACGAAGATTATGTGTGCAATTCTAAATTTTAAAACTTCCTCTTTTTGCAGAAAGCGAAGTGAATGTAGTTATAGTATAATTCTAATTCCCTAATTGTGGCTTATGAGTTCAAAAAATCTTTTTGTTGTATCAATGCTATGTAATGAATTAAAGTTATAACATAAGTTCCCACTCGGTGATGTCAATAGGATTAGCAATCTGCATGCATTTTACCTTTGGATAAATGAAATGAGCTTATAGATATATGCTTTCTGCAGATATAATCTTCATAAGGTTGATCGCATGATATATAAAGTTAATTTAGAAGTACTTGATTACTTCATTCATGCTTTTTTAGATTCTTTCTTTCATTTGCAAATGACAGTTTTTGATTGGCCAACTTGTATAAAAATATTGAAACTTTCTTGATATGTGTATGGGATTGTCTTCCGTGCCCACAACTTGGCATCCCTTGCTATTAACCTCAGATTTGTTTCTTGAACTAAGAATTTGATAGGAAATACTTGAAGATTTCAAGTAAATCCTATAAATCTGAGAAAATAGCAAGAAATTTTTTCCAATCTCCAATGAAAACTAGAGAAACAGTAATTTTATTGCAAGAAATCAAATAGAACGGAAAGAAAATACCAAGATACAATTGATCCTCTATTCAAGAGGAGGATCTCTCTCTCCCAAATCTCTAGATGCCGCTAGAGCCCAAAAACCTAAGATATCTCAAATTCAACCAAATTCAAGATGCCCTAACCCTAGGAAAGCAAATTATTTAATGCATACAATCCAATAGGAAATCTAGAAATAGTCCCTATATTCAAATTTTCCTCCTAACTCCCTCAAAAAACCTTCCTAAACTACTCTGTTGGCTCCTGCGGTTTGAGTGTCGTATAGGAGAGGTGGAATCTTCCGCCTCCGGTCCACCTGACCCTTTCTCGTGTGGACCGGCTTGACCAGTCTAATAATACTCCCCTCCCAAAGACCCATCTTGTCCGCAAGATGGAAAGATGACATCCTCCTCTATTCCCTCTTCATCACACACGATTAGAACCTGAAGAGTTCGATCCTTACACCTGTGCCAAGGCGTATACCTCTCGTCACATCTGCAGAGTCCCTTCGCTCTTTTCTCTTGTAATTCAATTTTTGTGAGCTTCTTGAAGTTGTCCGCATGTATTACTCCTACAGTCTTCTTCTTCGAAGTCTTCTGAAAAGTACCCGGTATCAGCTCCTTGGGTGCCAGAAAGGTAGTGTTCATCCTGTTCGGACCTCCTGAGTTGCTGCCTCCCGTCTCTCTCTCTCTCCAGGTGCCTCTGATCCTCCACTAATTGAGCTAGATCCATAACCTCTCCCAAGTCACGAGGCTTCATTACTCTAACCGCTGTCCGGATCTCTAGTGTTAGTCCCTTCATGAAATTTTCTTTTAGCACTGTCTCAGGATGACAGTCCAATCGGCTAGCGAAGTACTCGAATATCTCCCGGTACTCCATCACTGAACCATCTTGTGTCAAGGCGAAGAACTGCTCGTAGAAGTTTCCTCCCCTACCAGTTCAAAAACGTTATACCAAATAATCCTTGAACTTTTTCCAACTCAGTATGGGTCGTCGCATGTCCCTCCACTGGTACCAAGACAAAGCCTTCCCTTACAAACATAGGCCCACTGCCGTCAGTCTCTCCTCCTCCGTCAACCCATTTATGGCAAAATATCTTTCTACCTTGTAAATCCACCCGTGCACATCCTCCCCCTCAAAGATTGACATCTTCAGTTTCCTCACCCTCGGATCATCTCCGTTCTCTCTGTTCCCTCCATAATTTTCCATTCCCCAAGGGGGTGGTCCCCCCAAGTGTCTCAATCATCCATTCTATGCTCATACTTAAACCTTTCATCAAATTTCCACAGTCTCCTTTCAAATTGAGCACCCATTGGATCCTAATAAATCCCTCTCCTTTCAATTTCAACCCATCTTGGATCATAATTACCCCTTTCCCTTTCAAATTTCGTTCCTCTCCACTCAAATTCATCACCCCTTTATTCATGCTCCATCTCCACATGTTTCTCCCCATATCCTCTATCTAACTCCCCCATAGGAACAGGCTGTAGGGGAGGCATTCTCTCTTTTCCCTTTTGAGTCTCCATCTCATAAGCTTCCCTTTGCCTTATTAGATTAGAGTTTTCCCCGCTTTCTGGGTTGCCGGAGGCTTCCCTCACCTCTGACGACGCTGTTTTGGATTAACTCTCGAGCAACTTCTTCAACATCTCCCATAGGTTGAAAAAATTTACATCAATCTTCTCGTGGATGGCAGAAATTTGACTTTTGACATCTGAAAGTTTAGTGTGGAGATCTGAAGTTTTAGTTTTCAATTGTCCGATATCCCCTTCCAACATTTCTATCTTTCTTCCTACCATGAGAACTTGGATTTAGGCTCAAATAACAAGAACCACAAGTTTTGACGCGAATTCTGGCCTCCAATTAACAAAAACAATGCGATCAGATATGGAACACAGCAAAATTTAGTGAGGAAGACTTCTATTTCAGTCCAAGAACTTGCTTTGATACCAATTTGATAGGAAATACTTGAAGATTTCTAGTAAATCCTATCAATCTCAGGAAGACAACTAGAAAATTTTTCCCATCTCCAAAAAAAAAAAGTAATGTTATTGCAATAAATCAAATAGAATGGAAAGAAAATACCAAGATACAATTGATTCTTTATTCGAGAGGAGGATCTATCTCTCCCAAATCTCAAGATGCCGCTAGAGCCCAAAAAACCTAAGAGATCTCAAATTCAGCCAAATTCAAGATGCTATAACCCTAGGAAAATAGACTATTTAATGCATACATCCCTACATTCAAATTTCCCTCCTAACTCCCTCAAAAAACCTTCATAAACTGCTATGTTGGCTTTTGCGGTTCGAGTGGCATATAGGACAGGTGGACTCTTCCGCCTCTGTTCCACCTGAGCCGGTCCTATATGGACCGGCTCGACTGATACAATGGACAGGTCTACCAGAATTCTACTTGCCCATATGGATTAGACATGAAACACCGGTGGGCCTAATGATTTTGGTTTTATCTTCAATTTTTAATTGTTATGACAAGATCTATAGGTGATATAGTTAATAAAGCATAATAAAAAGGATGATACCACTCCCGGGGTTGTGGTGTATGATAGATAATTGATGTACAATCAAGTGCGTTTTGTTCCAAAGAAAAACTAGTGTAACTAAAGTCCTTGTTTTATATGAGGTTACTTGAGGTTTTTGGATCCTCTTTCCCAATCTTATACTCTATGTATCAAATGTATGTGAATATCAAATTATAATCCAGTTATATATGCGATTCTTAAAGAGAAAGTACACTGTTTTGACATGGCAGCTGTTCATTGCATATTTGTGTTACTATCATTATTCCCTTTCCTAACCATTTGGCGGCCAACTTTATGAATTCATTCTTGTCTATAATAACTGTTTACCCAAAATGGGTTCCCATCTTTATTTGATATTGAAACTTAAAGTTTTTCCATACTTATGCGCTCGGTTGAAAAGGTGGACTCATTACTGAGCTGATGCTTTGGAGTTATGAGATACATTTTAGTTTTAGAATTCGCACAATATGATCCCTTCATAAGTACATAAAGTTTGGTAGATCCATTCTTTCCATCCGTCCTTATATTTTCGTAATACCAATTATCATGGTATTTGCAACCCTACAGTTATATGTAATCCAATTTCAGTCTTATTCCTTTAAGCTTTCTAAATGAAGCAAACTCTCTGATGGACGACCTCCAGATTTGCACTTAAAATTGATCTTGGGCCATATTTATTTCTTTTCTACTTTTATTCTCTACACAGTAAATGCTTACTGAATTTCTCATTTCCATAGATTGTTTTAAGAGCTTTAAAATCAATCATCCGTTATGAATACCCAATGTTCTTTGGAATGGGGCTTAACATTTCTGATTATATGGCTCTGCAACTACTTGCTTTATGTAGGCTATTTACTGCTGCTGATAGCGATGATGTCTGCACAGCTGTTCAATTTGTCAATGGGATAAGGCCATGGGCAACCTTGATGGGTATTGGCTGGGGTTATGGTGCAAACATGCTAACAAGATATCTTTCTGAGAGTAGAGAAACCACTCCAGTTACTGCAGCTGTTTGCATAGACACTCCTTTTGACTTAGAGGAATCTACAAAGTCATCATCTCATCAAGCTGCCTTGAACGAAAAGCTAACTAATGGATTAAAAGAAATTCTGCGAACAAATAAGGTTATCCCCGGTCCGATCAAAAGAACTCTTTCTTTGCTTGTTATTTAAAAGTATTGTTAAACTTTTAGGCAAAAACAACAACAAAAACAAAAAAAAAAAAAAAAAAAAAAAGGAAGATGAAGAATAGAAAATAACCGCTGCTTCTGAAAATAACATCTTATTTCCTTGTACGAATGGAATAGGCATTAGTGTGATAAATGATTGCCATGATACTTGCAGGAACTCTTTCAAGGGAAAACTAAAGGTTTTGATGTCGCAAAAGCTTTATCAGCTACATCCATTCGTGATTTTGATGGAGCTGTTTCAATGATTTCTTATGGATTTGATTCGCTGGAGGAGTTCTATAAAGCATCAAGCACGAGACAATCAATTGACAATTTGAAGATCCCAATTCTATTTATGCAGGTAGCCTATTAGTAATGATGATCTGGAAGTCACGGAGTCAATTTCATGGATATTCATCTCTGCTAACTAAATTGACTACTAATCCTTATGCAGATGTGAACAGATTAGTTTTCTTTTGATAGTCATATACTCAATATTAAACTTGGTGAATTGCTGGGATATATAATATTCTTTGTCCTTTAAATACTTGTACATATTTAAGTTTTATATACATCGTGATTGGCTTCTACTTGGTTTTTTTTTGGTTTAATTAAACTTAGATATGCTATATGCCTAAAATTGAAGTAAAAACATGTATGTATATGATGGAGTATTAACTTGATTTTGAAATAGTTATGGAGTAACTAATGAGTTCCTAATCAAAATTAGTTTTGATCAAATATACAAGTTAAGTTATGTGAGGTGCTCTGCTAGTTTTGCTGAGTAACTTGTGCTGGACAGTGAGGGACAACAAAGATTGTACTCGATTAGCTTAATATTATACCCCTCTTCTTGCGGGACATTGAATCATCATATAGCTAAAATTAGATTATTTTTTTTAAGAGAATGATGGATGACATGCTACACACTATTGGCTTGATATTTTATCCTCTCTTTCTATAGTGATGTTGGATTGACTAAGCTGAAATTGGATTGATTTCCTAGGAGACTGAAGGATGATAGATGTTGTATTCTATTGGCTTAATTATTTTATCCATTCTTATCAGGCCTATTATGTGACAGAAAAGTAGCCTGCAATGTTTTATGACGCATAATGTTAGCAATTAAAAGATAAGCATAAAATTAAATTAAGTGTTGTAGAGGAGAGGATGCTCAGGTGGATGAGTGGCTTCAGTATTAGAGATTGATGTAAGCAACTTAAAGCAAAAACACAAAGAGAGAACAAAAAAATTGAAGACTCACTTTTTAGAAATTTAAGACACAACTTAGAGAACAAAATAGGCTAAATAATCAACTAAAATTCAAAAAAAAAAAAAAAAAAAAAAAAAAAAAAAAAAAAAAAAAAAAA